AACTTGTAGCTAAGGATGGCAGCACCCTAGTGTAACAAGAGCTGGTGGATCAGAGATAACTGTGTTGTGGGCTGGTGTCACTTGGATCTGCCTAATGAGTTCCTAAAACTAGTTTCAGGTGCTAATGTGCAGGCAATCCAGGGTTTAAGAGCTCCAGGAACCACCCAAAATTACCATGTAAGAAGACCCTTAAACTGCTGCCCCTTTCCACCCTAAACGTGGTTGTATTTTGATGGTGAGGTGGAAAATACAAGGTCCTGCCCTGCAAGGTACTAGAAAACCTTGTCTCCAACCCACTTCACTGAGACCTGAGGATGGTCAGCATCTTACGGGGCTGTGCCCAGCACTTGCAAAGCATTTTGGGATCGGCTAGAGTGTTGTCAAAAGGCTACAGAAGATGTACGCAGTTCTTTAATGCTACAGCAAGAGAGAGAGAGGAAGGAGGGACCTGGGGCCCTGATGCTACAGGGAATTTAGGTCAGGAAACTTGGCAGCTGAGAGAGAAGGGAGCCAATATAATGGTGCTGCGTCACTTTGGTGCCTGATAGCAACTCCAGAACTTTCGGGCGATCAACTTCATCTTAAGAAACTCAGGAAGGTAATAGCAGATTGCAAGATAAACAGCAAGGAGCTGGGATGGCAATGAATCCACTTTCCGTTTCACAGTTAATGGAGATGGAGAAAGTCCAGCTCTCTTTAGTCTGCTTGATTGCTATAAGAGGAAGAAGGGGTGGGAGAGAAAGGGCCCAGGGTTTTTTTTTCCCCTCCCTTCTATTCATTAGGCTGTCAATAATGCTCAGTCCTGGCATATCGACAGCGGATTAGCTCACCCCGACTCTGTGTACAAGACCAATGCCTTTTTAACTCAGCTTGTTTCCAAATCAATACACCCATCAGCATTCGAAAATTAGCCCGAGATGAGATTCCAATACTCAGCCTGGTGTGTCATGCTAAGAGGGCTCTTGGCCAACTTGGAAAAAAATCTTGCTAGCAAGGGATTAGAAATTTTCCATTTATCTTTACCTAGGCCGTTTCAGCTAAGCCTGCAATGTCTCAGAGACATCTCCCTATGCATACCCCCTCTGCCCAGCACACAGCCCCACAGCCAACTCCGGCACACACCCCACATGCCATCTCATCTGAAAGTATGCAGATGTGTTACCACAGAGTGCAGAGACACACACTAGTTAGGCCACACAACCTGAGGGGTGGATGGGCAAGTGTTAGTGAGTACATATTGCCTAAAGAGCGTGCAGGCACCTGGTACAGTGCACACTTTGCCAACCCAACTAACTTTTCAACCTGCTCGAGCCCCTCAAGACCTTGCGTGCATCCAGTTTCAACACGCAAGCAGACATGAGCTGCTGCCATAACTACAAGCCTCCTGCAGGTACCCCCAGCACACGTAAGGGGAGGCAGTCTACACGTATCCTATGGGCGTGCTTGCTTCTGCGCTTTCCCCCACACATCATTTGCTTCTTGATTCCCCTCCAGAGGGTCAGCATCTCAGTGTTAACAGTGCTGGTGTCACAATCAGGAGCTGTCTGATGACTGGTAAGAGCAAGCCAGACGCATGCCCCAGTGGAGGCCTGGACTTTGCCCAGCTCTGCTTGTCCTGCCCGCCCCTGGAGATCCTGCTCCATATTGGGGGGTGTTAGCAACTCTCGGTGCAACACTTGTAGCAGGTATTAGCCAGATGGGCAGGAGTGGCGGGAGGTCAGTAAAGAGCGAGGGGTCCATAGATGTAGGAGGGACAA